AGGTCTGATAATATCATCCACTCTTCTCGAGTTGTCTCCTGTTCTTCAGAAGGTTCATCTTCTGGTTCTTGACTTTGAATGACAGCTTGTAATTTATCAAACCAGTCTGGGACATTAGACTGCCCATAAGGTGTTTGTAAAAAGTCATGCCAACAATTGATCAGAACCTCGTCAGTTGGTTCTTGGTCACCCCATGCATTATTTTGGGTTGTTCTCCAGGGTTTATACCTCAAAAGTTGATATTTACAATATAGGCCAAAATTTGGACCTTTGGGATTAGGAGAATATGTTGGAAATATTCGCGGTATAACATTCTCTGGCAATTTTGTCAGTTCATTGTTAACAACTTTGTATGTTGTAGCAAATTGAACAAAGTTCATATTTGTTATATTTTGTGAACTCTCATATTGTTCACGATTAGCATACACATCAAGAAGTGAATAATCAGTGCACGATTCACCCTCATCAATACTTGCAGTATCACGCACTCTACGTGAACCATTTAGACTAACTGGCATCACTTTAAAGGATGAGCTGTGAAGCTTTAAAGACAACAAATGATGCATTGTCTCTTGAGCTGCATAATCTCTTTCACCAAGAGATTTCATAACTACCTTCTTAATAACTCTACGAGGGTCACTATTACTATCGACATTTTGCACAATAGAATTGAATGCCTGTTTCAATATAGGTGATCTTGGCTCACCTTTAGCTGCATATTTTGTGAGATATTCAACACAAGCATAGTGATCAATAACAACTTGAATATCACAGTTAGCTCTCCATCCTTGGAGCTGAAGTTGTTGATGGTTATTTAACCTAGAGTCATTTCGTTTAGTCACAATCTTAGCTCGATAATGCTCATTATCACCTGAAGTATGAATTTTTTCAAATTCTAATTTTGTCTTAGGACAAATATCAAAAGGGAAATGAAATCTACATTTCAACTCTGTTTCATTTGACTTCTTTCTAAGACAATAACTTGTACTACAACGAGTGTGTCGTTGAACCATGTTTAATAGATCTACATAATCTGATTGTTTTTCATGTTCAGGAATGTCATGACTTCTTTAACATGGATGAACCTCAGGTCTTATCCACATGTCGTCTGGTGGATTAGGATTGACGGTTGATAATAACCAATCAACATACTGACATACTGTGTCAGCTGCTTTCTGACCAGCTTCAATAGCCTGGTCTAGTTCAGTTGTATCAGAACAATCATTTTCATCTTTAAATTTTTGAGCTAAGAAACCTTTCAAAGCAGTCTGAGTAAGTTGACACAAACCTGGGTCATTATTTAGTTTAGCAGTACCATGACAATGGATACTACCTCTACCTTGGTATTCATATCGAAACCAGTGCCATTTTGCACCAAGAGTATCATAGAGCCAGTGTTTTACAAAACTTTCTAATCTTTGGGTAAAAAACCAATCTACGACATGGGGATTGTTAATAACATTTTGTCGTCTAACCTCACTGGTAGAGTTACCTAACTCATTGTCAGTGTCAGCTTTAAATAAAGCATGTAACTCAGGCCAATGCATATCTGCAGAGGAGAAAGTGAAAAATAATGTTGGTGCTCCAACACTAGTTATGATAGCTTTGAGTTCCTCTCTTACTCTATTCCAGTAAGCATTAGTACCTGCAATATTGCCGACATATCTCGACACTTTAGACATAAATACATTAGCACTGTTACTGGCAGCCATTTCACGCAGTTCATCAATTGTGAGATGAGCTTCACCTGGGTTCTGTTTGAGGAATATTCCACTTTGTTGTAATATTCGTTTTCTTTGAATCATATTAAAAGCCCAATAAGAAAATCTAGGGTGGTTAGCAAAACGGTATACCCATTTACCATCAATAATTTCAGCAAATTTTAGAAGATGCTTTATTCGTTCCTGAAGAGGAACATCTCTCAGAAGTCCTTGATTAGTAGGATCACCTTTCCCGTCTGGAAATAAAGTTGGGAAAGCCATTGTGGCCAGATGTGATACCTGATATTCATTTAATGGCTCATTTTCAACCGAGGGCCATGGCATTGGCTCATTTTCAGACAGCTGATTTCTAACAGCTTCAATTTGTTGTTGTTGTTGTTCGCCAACAGGTAAAAAACTACTCATTTCAGTAGAGTGATTATAAACAATATCCTCTGATGGATTATCAGTAGGAGGACCTGCATCAAGAGAACAATTGTCATCTGAGACAATATCATCATCAGTCTCAACAGTCATGAGATCTGGTGGTACACCATTTTCAGGTAAGGAATTTAATGCTTCTTCATTAATTGTTAACTCAGAATAATGTGGGTTATTATTGATAAGCCAAACTAAGGCATTGTGCACTTTTTGCTTTCGCACTGTCACATCCCTGAATGTGTTATCTTTACCTTTTACTTTGACAATAATCACAGTTAAGTCTTTGGGGTACCTTGGCAAAGTTGTTGCAAGTTCTGTGACATTTTGAGGCAAGTTAATACAATGCCCTGAATAACCTCGTTGACCACCAGGTTTAATATAAACTCTCATGATAGGCAAAGCACGAGCAATTAACATTTCCTCAATTTGAGTTAAATTCTGCAATTCATTTGGAACAGACGAAGGTATCATTGAATTTTCACAAGAAAACTTTTTAGGAGATTTTTTATCTCTAAAGCATCGTGAACACATGTAAGGTGTCTTTGGTTTTGATTTTAAGGGCCATGCCTCCTGACATACTGTGCACTGACTGACAATATATTGCACAGACTTATTAAACTTATTAATGTTAGCCTTAGTCCAACATTGCTCTTCAATACTGCCATTATTGGTGTCAAACATATTTAAATAATCCTGTTGATTTAATACTTCATGTTGAGGCTGTGACACTTTTTTTGCCCGCTTTTGTTTTTTATAAAGTCTATCTTTCTCAAGCCTCATTTGTCTCTCACAGTCAGTTTCCTCTGACCGCTTTCTTTTTTTAGACTCACGATCCTTTTGAAGTCTAATTTGTTGTTCATTGTAAGTCTCCTCTGAGCGTTTCAGTTTAATTGACTCACTTAATTTTTGAAGTCTGTCAGTTTCCTCTGACTGCTTTCTTTTTTTATATTCACTAGCTTTTTGAAGTCTGATTTGCCTCTCTTTGTCAGTTTCCTTTGACTGCTTTCTTTTATTGTACTCACTAGCTTTCTTAAGTCTAGCTTGTTTATCACCTTCATTTTCTACTAAAAGCCTCTTTTTTTGGACACTCTCTTGATCCTGTACACACTTACTTTTTTGCTCAGAAGCTTTACATATATTCAATTGCACAGGTACAATTTCAAATAAATTGGCATGCAATGTCATTGAAAGAGAATACAAATATTGTTCTAATTCTAGAATATTAGCAAATTTCATGACAACAGCAGTGCCATTAGGATCAGGCATGCCACTAGAGTCTCTGGCATGGGAGTCAAATAAATAGAAAAAATCTGCTTGCTTCATCAATGCCATCATATAGCCTTCTAATATTAAAATAGTATAACTATAATCTGAAAACACATTCAAAAGTGCTGTGTGAATGTCATAGTAGTGCGATGCAATTTTTCGGTTGGTTATAACAAGACCTTGAAGCTCTTTTCCATAATTTAGAAACAAAACTTGGTTTTCATTGTTTGCCTCATTAGGCACCACAGAATTGTGCTCTATCCCAACGAATAGATCAGTGTTACTTTTTGCCAAAATGGGTAGATCAGTGACACTTTTTGCCTCTGTGGGCTCTACCACAATGGGCAGATCAATAGTTTTTGCCACAATGGGCAGATCAATAGTTTTTGCCTCAATGGGCTCTGCCACAATGGGCAGATCAATAGTTTTTGCCTCAATGGGCTCTACCACAATTGGTAGACTGTTAGTATTTTGTCGTACCACCACGGGTAGACTGTTACTGTTTTGTCCTACCACCACCGGTGGACTGTTATTATTTTGTCGTACCACCACGGGTAGACTGTTATTATTTTGTCGTACCACCATGGGTAGACTGTTACTGTTTTGTCCTACCACCACGGGTGGACTGTTATGATTTTGTCGTACCACCACGGGTAGACTGTTATTATTTTGTCGTACCACCACGGGTAGACTGTTACTGTTTTGTCCTACCACCACGGGTGGACTGTTATTGTTCTGTCGTACCACCACAGGTACACTGTTACTGTTTTGCCCTACCACCATGGGTAGTTCAACATTATTTTCTGCATCAAAGGGATGCACTGTATTCGCATGCACTACAGGTGGTATATTACTTGTGTCGATCATAGAATCACATATCTTGTAAGAAAATATGTTCGTACAACTTGAAACACTGACAAGTTTAGGTAAGTTATCTACAGATAAGAATTCGACACCAGGTTCTAAGACAACAGAGCCATTATCTAGAGCTTGCAAGTACATTTTGTCTCCTTGTAATAAGACATTATTCAATGTTGTTCTTGACCAATCGATCAGTGGGATATTTTGGGCAGTTAAAACCGCAGATAGACTCATAAAAGCACATTGTTTGCCTCTAGATTGAACACTAAAAAGGTCATCGCCTTGATGTATTTCAGAAGAAAGAAATAGAGCCATACTTACCTGAAATTTTTCGAATATTTTTTATATAAACTTGCATCCGTATAAAACCAATTGTAAAATCTCGATTCTTGAATCTTGAGCACATGGAGATGCGTGCGCAATACAAAATCTTGTTTAGACCGCTCCCCTCATTCAACGAACGTTCCTGAAGCTTAATTATTCCCCCCGGATTACGACAAACATCCGACAGACAGACACAAGATCGAGATCTCGACAATACATAGATCGCGCGAAAGACTGGGTCGAGTGGACTCTGGAGAAACCACCGCGTGTCAAGAATAGTGTGCTGCCTCGCTACGCTCGGCAGCAAAGACTGAAGTATGGAAAGACACTGACAATGGACCATTCCCCAATTAACCAAAATTTTGATCTCAACAAGTCTAGACAAAATTCCATCATAGCATGAAAGAGCATCACAAAATTAGTAATATCCTAAAGTTTCGTTTCGTTTGTAAAATGCGGATAATATAGCCTTGCGAAATTAGCAATTTTCAGTCATTTTAGATTACAAACGAGAAATGGTTACCACTTTTCCAAAATTTTGATCTTAACTAGCCTGAACAAAAATTTCATCACAGCTTGAAAGAACATCACAAAATTAGTAATATTCCAAAGTTTCGTTGCAAAATGTTGTAAAATGCGGATAATATAGCCTTGCGAAGTTTGTAATTTTCAGTCATTTTGTATTACGCACAGAAGTAGTAACCATTTCCCGTTTGTAATCTAAAGGCCCGTTTACACGGGCGATTTTTGCTGCGATTTTAGTTGCGATTTTCTCCTTTTGGAGGATATGAAGGAGTAGATTACTTAATGACGTTGTTATGAAATTTCATAACTTGGAACATTTATAACTCATCCACTCCATCACATCCATTAGAAGAAAATCGCCCTAAAATCGCAGCAAAAATCGCCCGTGTAAACGGGCCTTAAAAGGACTAAAAATTGCAAACTTCGCAAGGCTATATTATCCGCATTTCAAAACATTTTGCAACGAAACTTTGGAATATTACCAACTTTTGTGATGCTCTTTGAAGCTGTGATGAAATTATTGTATAGACTTGTTGAGTTCAAAATTTTGGTTAATTGGGGAATGGTCCATTGTCACAGGAATGTTTATGTTAATGTATACTATATACTCACACAACAAGTCCAGGTCGACCTCCGCAAACCTCTTTCTTAAAACTACTTCTTCGTTGTAAAAATGACAATATGGTGATAATTATCCCCTGCATGAAAGCGATCGTCCATATTAGTTACGGTATATAAATTACAAATGCAATGCAATGCAATGCAATGCAATGCAATGCAATACAATGCAATACAATCAGTATTTAATATTTACCAGAAAACTACCATTATAAGGGTAAAAATTAAACATCATGGTTTTTACCAATTTACTATACGAGAAATCTATAACCAGTAGTGGTAAAAGTTCAGTTTTTACATTGACAGCTAGTATACATGGTAAATCTTTAAAAAACATTCAAAAACAATTATGGAAATTCAGACCGATGAAAAAAAGACCGATGCTTAGAAATTTCAAGGGGGCTAATGATTTATAATATAAATAATACAAAAATTAAATAACCCAAAACTTACAGCAGGTATCAAAAGGAGGTGAGGATAATAAGTTGTATTCAGATCACACTCAACACTGAAAATAAACAGAAAAATTTAGCTCTTTATTTTATTAAAAGTGTCACTGTATTTATAATTTGATAGTGTACAGTACTTGCAAACACTTACCCAATGGGAGGTTCAGTTGTATATGTGACGTCGCTCATTGCTTAAACTAGATAATAAAATATTAATAAGAGATTGTAAATAGTCAGCATCAAAGTATGTTTAAATCCTTTAAGAGTTTGATAACCTTACAAGTTTTCAACAGTTACGAAAGACCTGATCTCTGAAGTCCAGCAGTGATGTCTGGTCGGTTAACAGGAGTCGTAGAACTGGCTTGTTTACATGCATCCATTGTACTGCCCATCGTTTGAATTTGGTTGTGGGAGACATGCTAAAGGCGTCTTTGTTATCAACGGATGTTATGACCACAGTAAAATCCTGCCATGCATACAACAGGGCATTTTTTAAGGAATTTTGACTACTGGGGTAAAGTGTGTATTAGGGCCCTTGCGCAAGACAGACATGCAATTAACTTGAGTTAAAACCATTCGTTTCTAAATCTATTTAAGCAAACGTTCGGTTGCTTTCCAATACAACAGTTAGTAACATAGTTATATAGCATAGTAACACAATATATCTTGTCTAATTGACCTATAATGGTAGGTTTGACCCCCATGCAATCCATTTTCACGCATAAAAAATTTCTTGATAAAATCCTGATTCTGATAAAGTTCCTCGTTTGCGTCTATCATTTCTTTTTAGGAATTAATAAACTGCAGGTCTCGGATCAAAAATACAGAAATCCCTTTTCCATTTAACGAAACTTGCGTGCATGATTGAGTTGATTGTTTCTGGCTTAAAAGATGCTCTCTCAGGTGTCTTGATATTGTTATAGTGTGACACAGCTCTCTCAGTTGCCATGCTCATGGTATCAACGTTACGAACGCTGCAAGAAACATCATCAGGCCTGAATATTTGACTGACCAGAACTCTACTTGCAGTAATTAACTCTGTGGGTGACTTTGCATCAAGGATCTCTTTCAAATTGTTAATAGTGTCGTCTTCTTCAATATGTTCATCCTCTGGTCAAGGAAGTTGATGACATGTAGACTGAATAACTCTATTCAAGGCCAGTTCATATTAAAATGTATACAGCTAATTCAAAAAAGGTTGTCCTTTGCAAACCTTAAACTCTAAACCGTAGACTCTAAGCTTGAAAGCATAATGGGAGCATCACAGTGATTTAATCAGTTTAGAAATCATATATGGGGCCCATTTCTTAGAGACATGGTATAGACCTCAGTGCCGTAGCAAGCTCGATAATGGGGGCTCATATTCATATATTCGTGTTCACAGACCATAAAAACAATCGATTTCAAAAGAAATTAATAACGCAGAACACGAATATATTAATAATATATTAATATTATGACCCCCCCCTAATTATCGAGCTTGCTACGGTACTGAACCTTACGATTTTAGGACGGCAACGCGACGGCATCGGCTACCAATACAATAGATCGATCATTGAAAAGACAGGTCTTAAAATATGGGTCGGTCACGGACATTGTCCGACCCATTCGTGAAACTGTCCGACGTAGAGAGAAAACCACCGGACATTCTGTCCACCCAAAGTGAAACTGAGGTTTATTGTTTGTCCGACCCAAGTGAACTGGTGTCCGACCAAACTGTAGCTTTGTCCGACGTAAATCAAAATGTACCCTATAACCCAGGACTAGAGGCTTGTATGTTAAATGGAAAATCAGAGTACCATTGTATAAAAGGTGAACTGGAATTGTTGTTTTAACGTAGTCGAGCGTGGGGCGGCGACCGAAATGGTGAAGTGGAAAACGGGCTTAAGTTGTCGAAGTCTTTTTTAACACTGCTGTTCTGGCAAGCAAGTTAATTTTGGCCTGGAAATAAGTATGAAAGAAACAAATTATTTAATATCTTTACAACATTTACCGTTTATTCATTTGTGTCATTCAGACTTATTTCCGAGTCAAAACTGAACTGAAGGTCATCGAACATATGTCCGACCCAAACTCAACGTCACTGGACATTTTGTCAGACGGCTTTGTAAAAGATATTTTAAGGCCTGAAAGAATTGAATAATTACAATATTATGAATAATTTAGACATTGTCCTCGCTCTGTTCACAACGCCAAATCACAGATTTCCACGTCTTGATACAACGGCTGCATTTCAAGCCGCAATAAGTGCAACTCAGTTCAATTCAAACTGCATGCATGGATGGATTCAGCAGAACTCTTCCCAACCATAAAACCCATGTCTTCAACTTCTAAAACTGTATTAAATTCATACGATTGATAATATACCACGAATTATCTTTACTACCATTTGTTTGAAAGAGTTTATTTTGGCCGTTGTCGTCGCGTTGCCGTCCTAAAATCGTAAGGTTTCTAATATCTCCTTACGAAAACAATTGACAAATAGCTGTAATATTCAACTGCTAAGCTTGAAACTTGTGCTCCCATTAAGCTTTGCGCGCTTAGAGTTTAAGGCTTAAGCCAGAGTTTAAGGTTTGCAAAGCCAAAGGACAATCTTTTTTGAATTGGCTGTATATCTACATTGACATTATAGGACAATTTATACGAGCGAAAATAAGCTGCTTCTTTGATGGGTCGCGAGCGACTCGTGTATCAGTATTATGAAAGAACAGGGCACCCAAACCAAATATTTATTTATTTTTTCAAGGAAAATAAAACAAATCTTATTCTAACGTGTTGCCTTGCCCGAACTAACTAAAGTCTGCTCACCATTCACGCGTTTTTCATACGCACGGAAGAGTTTAAATCTTTTTAAATGTTACCTATGACAAATGTTACTTTTAAATGTTACTTATGACTAACTTGAAAGTGTAAAGTTTCAACTTTCAACCTACAAAAGCTGTAGTACAAAACAGCCAAAGTCGAAATGGCATAGAGCAAAAATAGAGGAATGCACGAAGAATATTCCTACGGTGGCCGATATCGATAAGGGCCACCTCTGCTGCATGCCGGAAATGCGACTGTGTTAATTGCGTAGAATTACGACTGTGGCACAGATGAGGTAATACAGATGTGAATCTCCTGTGAAAATGTGTCACACGGATTAAATAAACTTTAAAATTGTGTTAATTCACTATTTTATTAAATTTTGATAATGCAGAGGAATAAAACTATACATATTATAGAAGTATTCATGTTTTTTTTATGCGAGAGTTATGTTTTGAGGCATTTATATCATTCGCTGTTTTGTTATTTATACATGAGCATCTGAAATTCCCAGCAAGTGTATTTCACGATTTTAATAAGAAGTAGATAGGGAAAAAAACAAACTTTTGCTAAATAAAATGTTATATTAACACTTTTAATAAAAAGAAATCAATAAAAGTGATCGCTTACCGTTACTCTTGAAGAATTAATTCCAAAAATAGCCGTCGGTAGCGTAGACTTTTTAAAAAAACAATTTTTCGTCTTTCGAACGGCGTTTTCCTATCTCTTTCCTTATTAAATTTCAGAACGACACTTGCCAGCGCTCACCGGAAGTGAGAATTCCGTGTGACACAAAACAATCAGCAATTTCACAGGAGATTCACATCTGTATTTACCTCATCTGTGACTGTGGGGTCTGTGCTACATTGAGCTGTGCTTTGGAAATGACAGTGCTATGAAACTGTGTTGCATGGAAGTGCGAGTTTGTTGCGTGGAAATTTCCGTACAAATGATACAAACACGAAGCTTTTCCATGGAATGTTGCTTGTTAGCTCAGCTGCATGTCAGCACAAACGTTTCTGAGACTGAATACGCGTATAGCTAAAATTGCTTAAGTGGTTCCCGGCCGAATATTTGAAAAACATTGCAAAATATTAAAGTTAAATTATAAATATCATTGAAAACTGAAAATTCGCGTCGCGTTGCTGTATGGGCTTTAAAAATTGTACAAACTACAAAACACACAGACGGGAGGAGGGGGTGATAGTTTCATGACACCGCGAAAAGTATAAAATTTGAAAGCAAATAAATCGAAGAGAAAGGTTTTTTATTTGTTTAATTTATTTTATTGTTTCAACAATGTGAGTCCTATATATTACAGGGGTTTCAGAATAAGCCGGCGGAGTTCCGCCGGCTACTTGAACTTTTACCGCCGGCTACTTTTCGTCTGGTCACAGGAAAAATTTTATATACAAAGGTACAAGCGAACCAACACGATGTTTGTTATGTTCCAATTGGAATTCAAGGAGGCCTCGAATTTCCCTGAAATCAATCGACGGCAATGGTGTTAAAAATTGCCGTAGAGTTTCCACGCGGCAGTTTTTTCAAATTACTGTAATAAAAATTTAATTTTATTGTTAATTTGGATTGCTGACAAGCTATAGAAACATGTTTACGTATTTCTTTAGTGTTTTTTTTCGAAGAAAACTGAGATTAAAAGAGTAATTTACGGATGATTTGATCAACATCTGAATTCAAGTATCAAAATAGTAATGCACAGTGAACAGTTTAAAAATTATACTATACGGCAAAAAATTGCCGTCGTTGCCGCAATGATCCACGGTATTTTGTTCTCCCTCTACGGCAATTGCCGCGATAAAATTCAAGCCCTGAATTCAAGCAAAACATCACTTATTTTGGAAGATCAATAAGATAAATTATAATACATAGTACCAAACATAGCAAAAGAAAGAAAAAGTGATGAAGTGAAGTTCTACGTACGTACATACATGCAAGTATAACATCATTTGATTAATGATTTCGGACTCACAAATTAATACTATTACTGTAGTGTACATTGTCATTCTGTTCATGCAGCTGTAAAAATTAAACTACTAGTAGCACACTAAAGTACATAATGTCACTTACAAGTATAAATGCAAATGACATCTAAATCTAACATGTTAACAGTTGTACTTTGTCTTTTTACGTATTCTATATTATTTGATTGTTAATTTGCGGCGAATTTTTTTTAAATTTTCATGCGAGGGCACGCCACCCTCTCCGCGAGATTTTTTAACTATCAGTTGGCACAGCCGGCTACTTTTTTGGTAGAACCTCCTACTTCAAATCATTCTGAAACCCCTGTATATATGACAATGAATGATTGTGGGGATCGAGCATTTCCCAGGCAACACAAATTTTTGCCCATATTGATTTAATATTGCTCACCAGTAATTAAATGTATTAAAAATATATTATAAATGCATAGATGGAGAAGTTAATTAATAGGGTCCGGTGACTATAACTCCAAATCTATAATGTGCATTAAAGGGCTAATTGTTTTACCGACATTGGTTCATTGAAAAATGTGGAGTTTTAAATCTTGCTGGAGCTACTGTCTAAGGGGCTGCATGTTTATATCGGGCAAGTCAGCCCGAGCTGGTCTGGTTTAGGGGTGAGATCCCACCTTTGTTATTATTTCCTGCTAAATTTCATTTTGCATTTATATGGAAATCGAGCTGGCCGGCCTAAGCGAGATCTCAACTATCCAAAGATCTTGGGTGACCGGGCTGGGAATTTGCCATATATAAACGCAAATCAAGACCCTGCGGCTAGCTCACCTAAAGCTGGCCGAGTGTTATTGCTATGTTCACGTGAATATGTTGTTCTAAATATTTTTTGTTACCTGCATGTTCTTATTTAGTTATACAATGAGCGAGAGACATCTACTGTATACTTCTGTGGTGGTTCATGCCAAAACTTATGGTAACTAATTAACGTTGAATCCTGGTATCCCAGTGGGGTACTGATAAAAATTTTAAATTTCAGACCCTAGCTGCCTTAGACAAACTAGCTCCAGCAAGATAATAAAACTCCAGATTTCTCAATGAACCAATGTCAGTAAAACAATGTCAGAAAAACAATTGAGTTAGTTACTTCGACTCCCTATGAACTTCTCCATCCATGCATTAATAATATATTTTTAATACATTATAATACAATTTGGGCAAAAGTTTGTATTCATGTCTATATATATATAAGGACTCACATCGTTGAAACAATAAAATAAATATTAACAAATAAAAAACCTTTATCTTCAATCTATTTGCTTTCAAATTTTATAGTTTTCGCAGTGTCATGAAACTATTCACCCGATGTGTATTTTGTACAATTTTTAGTAAACAATATTTTTTTGCACAGGCAATTGTTTTGAGGGTAACATAGTCACATCTTGTAACATAGTTGCATCTCCATGCAGCAGACAGGCCCTAATATCGGCCATCATATATTCCACAATTTATTGTTTAACAACGCAGGGCTCTAAATAGCAGTCTGCCAATGTCTAAAAGCAGGCCAATTATTTTAGAAATGGCAGGCAAAAACAAATTTGAACTGCCAAGGTAAAAAAATGCAGGTGATTCTATCTATTAGATACATTTCATTTCATTTGCTTATGCACCAGTCAATGTAAACCCCCGGCCCCCCTTCTATCTATTGGATATATTTCATTTCATTTGCTTATGCACCAGTCAATGTAAACCCCCGCCCCCCCAACCGGGGAGGGGTGGGGATTTTGACTTAGAGGGGTAGTAAGAGCAAAATTGTCCCCACCCCCGGGGAAAGGTAATTAATCAATGTCCCCACATGTCTCTCAACCCCAGGAAAATAGTTTTGTTATACCGGTATTTCATAGATAGGCAATAGAAAATCAAATTCATTTGGCTATTGTATTTAAACTTTTCTTGTAAAGAAAACTAAAACAGCAACACAGGATATGTATGTTAACCACTGAATCCATTCCCCCGCTTTCATCCCCGTATCGTCTACCGAAAGAGAAAATGTCATCCAAGTCCCCATCATCGGGGACATATTTACAATCAAAACTGACCACTTTCCCCACTAAATCCCTGGCCCCTCCCCGGTTTGGGGGGGGGGGGGATTTACATTGACTGGTGCATTACCACAACTCTTATAATATACTAAATCATTTAGTAGACTATAAAATACGTTTATATTTGAAATGTAAATTCCAAGTTTACTGTAGTGAAATAGACAAGTTTAAAAACAATAAAAATGCAATATATATCATGAAAACATTGATTTTTAGTACAATACGACTCATTTGAGTCTTGAGACATCGCCATTTTGGCAGTATCAATGAATAAAAATGGCAGGCTAAAATTTATTTTACCTGCCGAAAAATTTTAGACTGGCAGGCCATATTTTTTCTCTACTTCGAGCTCCGTCCAGGTCAGTTTAACAAAGTAGAGAGTAGAAACCTTACGATTTTAGGACGGCAACGGCTACCAATACAATAGATCATTTATCATTGAAAAGAATTGAATAATTACAATTTATGAATAATTTAGACATTGTCCTCGCTCTGTTTACGCCAAATCACAGATTTTCACGTCTTAATTGATACAACGGCTGCATTTCAAACCGCAACAAGTGCAACTTCAAACTTGGTTCAGCAGAAGTCTTCCCAACCATAAAACCCATGTCTTCAACTTCTAAGACTGTATTAAATTCATACGATTGATAATATAGACGAATTATCTTTACTACCATTTATTTGAAGGAGTTTGTTTTGGCCGTTGTCGTCGCCGTTTTAAAATCGTAAGGAGCGCTCGGGTAGCGGGGCCCTCACAGGCCACAGCGGAAATTATATACTAAAAACAACAGTACGCATTCTACGGTACAAATAAACGCCATTTTTCAAATTAGAAACATTATTACAGTACATTACAGTACAGTGTATTATATTTAGAGTATAGTGTCAACACAAAAGTAGTAAGTTGAAACGTACAGGTGGCGCCAACGTGCATTCCTTATTCGGTCTGCAATTCTAAATATTCAAGGAATCAAGGAGCAAAAATGCACTACAAGCGACTCTTTAAAACACAAGAAACGATAAAATAAATGGTTTACTTACTGTATTTTGTAAACGTTCAAAATAATGATGCAATATTTACCAATTTCGTCGCTTAAACGCAAAACTTACAATAATACACTCACAATATAAATAGAGTTACCCAGTGGCAGTGAGCGGATTCACAACAAGTCAACCACGTGTGACGAGTCGATTGTCGAGGGTCATAAGGTCGAGGGTCGAATGTCGAGGGTCAAAAGTCGAGGGTCAAAAGTCGAGGGTCGAAAGCCCAGGGTCGAAAGTCGAGAGTCTTTCGTCAAGGGTTGAAAATGGAGAAAAAATTCTCTTATTAATATTTACATTTCTAGAATACTACATTTTTCGCATCTGTTGCCAAATTTTAAAGGTTTTCTTGATAACCTCGGGGATATGTGTTTATTCACCTCGGCGCTGTGCGCCTCGGTGAATAAATTACATATCCCCTCCTTGCCTCAAAATAACCTATACATATTTGGAAAATTGGGCGAAACGAAGTTCGTTACGATATTTCCTCGATATTTGCCATTTTTTATATCGATACCGATATTTTCCCAACTCGAGCAACCATAACAATATAAACATTGAATAATATATGTCAGTGATTGGAACTTCCCAACATAACCAGAAACTCCGATCCTGCCCTTGGGCCATTAATATAGCACCATGGAAATTTTTATATTTAGGCTTATTGGCAACAAAACAATATTCGCCTATTTAGGCTTTTTAGTAACAAAACGTCCCCAAAATTTTTCCAAATACTAGTTTGAGATAATGGGGGCTTAAAAATACTTTTTCAGACCTTTTTCGACCTCAACTTTTCAGAAAATTAAGAAAGCAAAAGAGAGAAATCAATCGTTCTTTAAAATATGCTTGCGTACTTTAATTATAAAGTTACCTTATATTTTACATTACCAGAATATCAGTATTAAAGTATTTTTCACCTTTTTACCGCACTTTTATATACGATCAACTAAAAAGTTACTGAAATTACAACCGATGTTGTTTAAGAAGGGACTTTCCCAAGGAAAATTTCCTCGAATTTTCTTGAAATACATAGTGTTAAAAAAAAAAGACTGAACAGATTTGAAATTCCTCTCAATTTCGCAAAACAGCTATTAGTATCCAGTTTTTTATATATATATATAGTTTCTTTGGGTACCTATGTAGAATAATGAAAAAAATTTCTCGAACTCAAATTTTGTAAACCAGGGATGCGTGTTTTTTTCTCCATCAAACTAAAAATGGCTTGCGCACGAAATTTAAAAGCTTTAATCGTAGTTTGAGTTAATGGGTGGAAACTTTGTTGGGTTTTTAATTACTGTACAAAATTAAAGGGATGAAACTAAAGCAAATTGTCTGACATTTTGTAGAGTAATTAAAAACCCAACAAATTTTCCATCTATTAACTCAAAATTCGATTAAAGCTTTTAAATTTCGTGCGCGAGACATTTTTAGTTTGTTGGAAAAGAAACACTAGCATGGTTTAGACAATTTGACTTAGAGTATTTTTTTAAATTTATTCTACATTATGGGTACTCAAGGAATCTTTATATATAATAAAATAACAAAAACTTGATACCACGAGCTCTTCTGCGAAATTGAGAGCAATTTCAAATCTGTTCAGTTTTTTTTTATGCACCCTGTCCTTGTATAACAAAATTAATCTAAGAATTTTTCTTGTTCTGAAAATGTCGAGTGTCGCTGGTACTGATATCGAAAAGAACGAATACACTCAATACAGTAAGTTCATGATAAAGCTCGTGAAAGAGATAACGAATGATATCTTTGACAACCTGAAGTATGTTAACGCAACGTCATGAAATCGAAGCTGCGACAATCGAGAAGCTGCGAAAACCTTTGGATCTTTTCAGAGAGCTTGAAAAACAAGATTTTGTCGGGCGTGGAAACCTAGACGGGCTCTGGAAGTCACTAAAAATGAAGGAACCAGGAACCAGGTGCAATTTCAGAAAATATCCACAAACTAAAGCAAGAAGAATTCAAGCATAGCCTATCGAAGGGAAGATGGCTGTGAAACTCATTAGAATAACAATATAACTGATTATCTATGTTGGTCAACGTTTATTCATTAATCTGGTCCTTCACCGTCACGTGTGTATTGTATTCTTGCGCAACTAACCAATAGCAATGTTTTAGGAAAGTCACCTATCCGTGACTCGAACAATAGGGAAACTGGAAATTGCTATTGGTGGATTTGGTAAAAATACAATACACACGTGACGGTGAAACGATCAGATTTATGAATAAACGTTGACTAACATCATAATGAGTTATATCGTTATTCTAATGAGTTTCGCAGCCATCTTCCCTTCGATAGGCTATGATTCAAGGACTTTCGAGACTTTATAGGAACCCTGTTACCAGCGTAATGGCAGATTTAAATTCCTGGAAATAAGAATAAGTTAAGGAACAACTCTGGCCTCATTTCTAATTACCTATTACATTCAGCCCGACATCGATCAAACGATGCGAGAGACTGCGAAACAATAAAGCAAAGCCTGCCCCACGAAAGTGAAATTATTTAGAAAATATATGCATAATTATAGTTTCATTGGCAAAATCGCAAAATCTAAAGCCTTTGTGTGTCAAGGCATCCAAAATATCTGGCGATTCCCGAGTTATTTGTTGGGAATTATTATCAAAAGCAACAGATCATATTGTCGTTGGTAATAACGGAGTCACAAATTGGAGTATTTTGTTGTCCCAATATATGCCGCACTGACAGACAAATATTTATACATGATCCGTCGCATTTATACATCCCGCCAATATATTCACTTGTAGAAAAAAGCAAGCCATGTTAATTGTTTCTAAAAACCTATGTGGGTCGAACCTTGATCGAACCCGCATTCCTGACTGTGAAGCGCCATGTTGACAATAGATAGCTTAAGATATACGACGTCGACGCCACCTAGGACGTCAGGGCTAAGCAAAGGACTGGGACTAGGACGTCGTCCTAAATAAATAAACTTCCACTTAAGATTCACGACGTCGACATTTAAACTATAACTATTTACATCCTTTTGAAAATGAATTTAAAAGAGACGTTTGAATCCATTACCGCTTGTTATGCTCTTGTATCCACGACGGTAAAACTCTTGTTGTGAACTATTACCAATTTACTTCCCCTTGCCGTTTTAAATATTTGACGTCGTAGATACTTGAGCTATCGACTTATTTAGTCCCAGTCGTCTGCTTAGCCCTGACGTCCTAGCTGATGTCGACGTCGTGGATCTTTTAAAAGCTATCTGTTGACATGCATATAAACGTTTCCGCATAATCAACGTATTAATTTTCTTGCGAAAATTATTTTTCTCCCGCAAGCTTTGCTTCATTGTTGCGCAGTCTCTTACAACGTTTGATCGATGTCATGAGAATGTGCGCAGGCTACTATCATAAAAGAACTTCACCCTGATATAAAAAATAGTTATTCTTTTACTGTATGTGGGTTTTTACTGTATTGCTGTATATCATTCACTTATCTTGTATTAACCCATACCGACCAACTTCAATTTTGACGTCGCCATGTTTGACACAACCACCTTGAACAGGTTGAGGTGCTTCAACACCACCAGGTTTACGGTCAGACGCTAGTTGTGGGTTGCGGGCCAAGGTAAGGGCGAGGAACCATCTGGCACGAGCTTGAGCTGAACATGTCCATTCTCGTTCCTTGTTGTGTCCTTTAATACATTATTTAAAAAACTCATTAATAATTCATGAGGAAAAGACAAAGGAAATCACTACCGTGTCGATGGTTATATATGTCTTCAAACACTCATTAATAATTCAGAAGCTTATTGGCAAATCATTTCAACCATGCAGTGGCTATGGTGGATAATATGTCACGTGCAGTGGCTTTAAACCTGATAAAACACTCCTAATTAGTACTAATAAGGCAGTATCTATTGTTGTCGTGTCCTCATTAGTATTTTTTATATAAAGAATACTAATAAGGCGGTATATCTATTGAATTTGTAGTCGTGTTTGAAGCCGTTTAATAAACTCGCAGGTCATGTTTTATTAGGTCTAAAGGCACTCGCGCTGCGCGCTCGTGTCTTTAAACCTAATAAAACACTCCTGCTCGTTTATTAAACAGTACATAAAAACTCATGTTAATTTACATAAATTTTAGCTTTGATTTTCTCGACTTAGACAACGTTTATTTTTAAAATTACTTTGCCAATAACCCCATCAGGTAGGATTCGTCGTTTTTTAAGCCATTTAAAACACTCGCATGCAGTCCGTGCTTTATCAGATATAAAATACTCGAGCTGCGCTTTCGTGTTTTATATCTGATAAATCACTCCTGCTCGTGTTTTAAGTTGTATTTAAAATATGAGAGGCCGATTTTTATGGGGATTTAACAATGGCTCGCGCTGCGCGCTCGTTGTGAATATTTTAACGAAATTGTAAAATAAATTTATTTGTTTACTTTATTATATAGAATTCACTGCCCATGGGGACAATCTCACGCTTCATTAGCATGCATTTACAGCGTAAATCTATATAGTGATGCAATGCGTTTTGATTCTAATAATCGTCCTGCTTCGTAATTAGTATTCATAACTCTCATAAACATCCCTCAACACGACTTTTTTATCTTTACTCCGGTTTACAAGTGTGCATATGTGACCTAAATACCGCGTCGTGATTTGTTTGTAGCCTTATTAATTATTCACGAATTCTACAAATAGTACACAGTTATTATTATGACCATATTTCCTCTATTTAGCCCTTTTTAGCACCTCCCTTTTTAATTGGGCCCAGTTTAGAAGCGCTGAAAAGAAACAAGTCCCCACCCCCTCCCTTTATTTAGCTCACATCCTCTAATAATAAATATATGACTAAATAACATTACATGAGTAGTACATCGTATGACTATAGCTTCGCCAGCAAAAGAAGTTATATATCATGCATAAATTATACGATGGCCTAATTACAGTTTCCTGTGCCCGGCAAAGCAAGGCAAATTTATGCTAATTTCCAATAATTTCCACCCAAATTTAACAAAATCTTGATCAATTTGTCCTTGGACAATGTGCATTAGTCCCACAAAGTATTTAGTCCCAGTAATTAGTCCCATAAATACGTTTGATCTTTTCTAAGTTATCATATCATGCTGACAAACACACGGACACACATACCAACGCAGATGAAAATGCATCCAATGCCCGGGCTAAATAGGGGCAATTCGGTATTTAATTAAATGATTATGCCGTGAAAACTGCAGGTCATTTTAATAGGGGGGCTTGATATATTCCTCCCTTTAGAAAGATGGGGTTAATACGTACACGTGACGTTTTCTGAACGGTTTTCTAAAACAAAAGTGTTTATAACTCCCATACTTTAGAAAGATGATTTTTATCGTTTGTTGTCTTTTATTGCCATAATCAAACAATCACAAAGTCTGTTCGCATAGGTACGTTGCAAACCCAAAAGCGGGGTTATTGGAGGGAGAGGGCTGTCTTTTTGGAGGCGAGGACTTATGTGAAGATTTGCTGTAAATAACATGTGGAGAAATCTTATGCCGGGCGCAGATAATACGATTGAAGTCGACCAATTTATGGTTGTAAAAAAGGTTTGTAAAATTTATGAACAATTCATAAGGTTTATTCGCACCCTATACTGTAAAGAAATTGTCAAAACTTACGTGTTTCGTCACTCAATATCTGACAGAAAACTCGAAGGACTGGGTTTCTATAAGCTGTTTGCACGTGAAGATAACAGATGTACGCATTGAAACCTTTCAAAATAACAAAAAAATGTTATAAAGACTGTAGCCTGCGTATCGACTATAGTTTTACAATCGGTGTCTTAACAGTTAGACTTGCGCCAAGTCTCTCTTTCATTGTCATGTAGTACCGATCCACTATAGTGTACATTACATGACGTAGTACGGAGGGGCGGAGCGAGAAAGAGAAACTTGTCAACTTCGGAAAATCTCGGTTCAAAACTGAACCGAAAATGCAAGACTTGCTTTAATTGTTTTCCTTCAAATTCTTTCTGTATTATTTACTATAATGGATCTCGTGTTATTTACACTGTGCTAGATCAATACATATAAACACTGACAGAAAACAATTAAAGCAAGTCTCCGAAGTTGACAAGTCTCTCTTTCTCGCTCCGGCTCTCCGTGCTACGTCATGTATTATTGCTGCCGAGCGTAGCGAGGCAGCACACTATTCTTGACACGCGGTGGTTTCTCCAGAGTCCACTCGACCCAGTCTTTCGCGCGAGTTATGTATTGTCGAGATCGAGATCTTGTGTCTGTCTGTCTGTAAAGATGTTTGTCGTAATCCGGGGGGAATAATTAAGCTTTAGGAACGTTTGTTAAATGAGGGGAGCGGTCAAAACATGAAGATTTTCAAGCTTTTAAATACGGATGCAAGGCAGCAAGAGATAAAAAATATTCGGAAACATTCAGGTAAGTTCGGCTCTATTTTTTTCTTCTTATATACATCAAGGCAATGACCTTTTTAGTGTTCAATCTAGAGGCAAACAATGTGCTTTTATGAGTTTATCAGCACTTTTAACTGCCCAAAATATACCACTGATCGATTGGTCAAAAACAACATTTATAAATAATGTCTTATTACAAGGAGACAAAATGTACTTGCAAGCTCTGAATGATGGCTTTGTTGTCTTAGAACCTGCTGTCGAATTCTTATCTGTCGATAATTTACCTAAACTTGTCAGTGTTTCAAGTTGTATACAAACATGTTTCTTACAAGATATGTGATTCTGTGATCGACACAAGAAATATACCACATGTAGTGTATGCAAAAACAACTATAACGCCTGTGAATCCTTTTGATACACAAAATAATGATACTATAAACAGTCTGCCCATGGTGGTAGGACAAAATAATAACATTCTATATCCATTGTAGTAGAGTCCATTGAGGCAAAAATATCATGGATCTGCCTATTGTGGTAGAGCCCATTCAAGGCAAAAACTATAGATCTGCCCATTGTGCCAATGTGGTAGAGCCCATTGAGGCAAAAACTATAGATCTGCCCATTGTGGTAGAGGCCATTGAGACAAAAACTATATATCTGTCCATTGTGGTATCTAGTGCCCATTGAGGCAAAAACCATTGATCTGCCTGTGGTCTAGCCCATTGAGGCACCAACTATCAGCGATCTGCCCCAGAGAATCGATAATAGCGGGCAGATATTCATATATTCGTGTTCACAGACTGTAAAAACAATCGACTTCAAAAGAAATTAATTGGGCAGAACACGAATATATGAATATCTGCCCTCCCCCCAATTATCGATATTCCGGCGCCTCTGATCTGCCCATTGCGATGGAGCCCATTGAGGCACCAACTATCAGACTAGGGGTCAGCCAGGGGGGGGGGGTCGTAGTATCCTAAAGAGCTGATAAATATGGATCAAAATACCTATTATTATGGTCAAAATGTTACATAATACCTAAAGCAATCAGAAGCTGTATACCAGACCTAATACCCCAAATTAGTCATAACATTTAAAGTAAATATACAGTATACTCGAATTAAGTACCATTGGACCCTATATACAGTACACAAAACCCTATGGCCGACCCTACAGACTGCTCTGCCCATTGTGGTGGAGCCCATTGAGGCACCAACTATCAGTGATCTGCCATTATGTGCAAAGGCAATGAGTTTGTAGTGTTCCATTTCTAGATGTTTATAGCTTTAAACAAATGTTGTCTGCACATATATTGACTTACAGCAATTACATGTAATATTACTAACATTTTAACTGACTTTTGTATAAGATCTGAGATATGTCCATTGTTAGCATAATATGAAATAATTCTAGTGGCCTACATATGGCTGTGTCACTACGATAATGCTCACAATTTCTTTCTTATCATATATTTTTGCAGTTCTGACTGAGAACAATCTTAATCATGTCAATGAATGGTGTCATCTGAAGCATATTAAACAGAAATGTCAGCAAATACATTTTGTCTACCCATCGGCAGATTGTTCGGTTGGTCTGTGAAGGGGAAGCCATGAAGGTGGCATTACATGTAAAACGATAATTGGAACAAAAACCGACTTTATAGTATTTTTATATAAACATTGTTCTGTATTCAGTGGCAAACTCACACATGTGATCACCAAGTTTATACTTTATAGTGCACTTTTTATAAGATGAGATGTAAGATACAATCAGGGACGCCGGAACTGGGGGGGGGCAGGAAGGGCAGCCGCCCCCGTTGCCCTTTACCAGGAGGGGCAAGGGAGGCAAAGGTGTCCTTTCAATTTAAAGGATTGCCTTGGCAAAATAGCAAATTGTCAGAAATGTTAGTGCAATTCTTTTACTAATTTGCTTCAGAAAACGCAAGAAATACAGTCATCGAGCTTCAAGAATAGCATAATCGCCTGGCAGAGAACCCCCTCACACCCCTATCATCCAATATATAGAAAACATGATTAGGTGAAGTTCAACTCCCGATGTTTTGCAAACATCTCTTAGTATATATCAATTCAAAAGTGCCCTTTCACCAAAATCTGCCACCCTTGCCTTCACATCGTTCCGGCGTCCCTGGATACAATTGTAGAAGGTAATTGATGTAGAACATGTGTAAGACATTAAATCATACATACAGTGAAAAAGACACTTTTTGGTTGTAGTACATCCTGCATGTACATATCGGCAGCATTTTACTTGCGATAGTAACTCCTAGTATAATACCTTATTGAATTCTAATCGTTTAATTGGCTGTTTATGGTCACGTGATATTGAATAGAAAATTCCATTTCCCAAGAGTGCAATGGAACACGTTCCATAAAATAAAACGTATAGTACAATTGCACTCTTTGTGTTTTCAATAAATCGCATCACTCAAAATGCTTCTCATACGAATCTATTAGTCTATTTTGGTATTATATAAAACAAATAATGAATGTTTCTTCGTGCAATGGTAAGAATATTTTCATTCGGTGAAAGATGAAAATATGAAAATATCATGAAAATATTCTTACCATTGCACTCATAAACATTCATTATTTGTATAATGTACACTATAGTGGATCGATACTACATGACAATGAAAGAGAGACTTGGCGCAAGTCTATCGGTGTCTAGGCCCTTGGCTACGCCAATGTGACCAAGTCATGGAGCTCTCTCTCTCTATATATATACATGGATAACTATCTTCATTAATTCGGCCTTTGAGAAAAGTGAAGCTAACATGGCGGAAATTAACGTCGCTTTCATAAGTATCACCGTATAAAGATGCTTGCTGAAACCAGTAAGCCTTATATATTTGGAACGAGAAGCTCTACATATATTTGGAGCGAGAACGTCAGTCGAGAAAAGCAACGCCAATATGGCGGAAATTGACTTCCAAATTCTATGAAGGTCGTAAACATTTTCATACCGTTTTCCCGAGCTAAACTAGTTCTCTCATGGATCGTATCTCCCATTGTCTGTCACTGACCTAACCCCAATCCTAACCCAAACATTAACCTTGAACTCAAGCAAACTGATCTGTGATTAAATTCTGAACTATCTTGAAAACCGCCCCCTCGTCCATCCCTTTTAGCCATGACCGTTACAACAAGTTGGCATAAGCGTATGAGACAGCGGGGGCACAACTGCCCCCTCCAAACTTTACAAAACCATGAAACGCGGGCAAATGCTATACGACAAATCCAGAAAATTCAGGCAGAGCTATCAAAGCATATGTTAAATTTAGGCCTGTGTTATTTCATTGCAATCCTCCATAACAACATGGGCAAAACATTCAACCCCCCCCCCCCCCCCCCGTACACTTAATGTCACTTATGCAAGTTGGTTACCTCGATCAAACCGTTGAAAGCCATCGGGCATAACACTGTGATCAATTCTTGGCAACATCAGAGCTCCCACAGCCATTGTCCTCAGGATCCGAGATATGGCGGAGAAGACACCCATGGGAAGACCAACGAAAAACCAGAAATACGAGAACACCAAGTAGACGTTTCTGGGAAAAATCCCGAACTTGATTAAGCTAGGGGATAATCTGTCTGAATGTGCAGTGATAGGGCATACGAATATGATCCACTGAAATAAAATATTTTGTGGTGTTCCTGAGATGCTAGTTTCATATCTATTCTGACACTGCGGAGTATTTGTCAAGACTTTTTCGGGGTTTAATTAATGGATTTTAAGGTCAGTTTTAGGGGGCTTTTAAGGGATTTTATTTCGAGGTGTACGGGATATTTGGAGTGATCCCACGTTCCAGTGAGAATCTATACACAGTAAAGTACATAATCAGAGTAACATCAAAAACATTATATTCACCTGAGTATACATAACATCAAAACACACATACCTGTTATTTATAGATACATTCCTGTTATTTATAGATATGGCGTTTTTAGGAAAGTCGTAATCACGGAATATTGTCGCCGCGATTATAAGCATACACAAGTAGGTAAGCAGAGCTACGGCCATGAGAACACTAAATAAAATGTGAAGAAGCAACATTTTTTGAGATGAATACCATTTAGTGCGAGCCCAGCTAACCTGGAAACTCACCTGAGTGGCCTTTGTCAACGTATACGAAATTCAATAGATGATTCGAGCTATATATAGTCTAAATTTTGATCTCGGCAAGAAGAACAAAATCCATCACTACAGCTAGAAAGAGCATGTTAAAATTAGTAAAATTGCAAAGTTTGGCCGCGAAATGTTGTAAATTGTGGATTAATTTGTATTACGCACGGGAAAATGCACCACATTTGGGCCGAAAGTGGTGCATTTTCCCGTGCGTAATACAAATTAATACAAAATTTGCAAATTTCGTAGGGCTATATTTTCCGCATTCTACAACATTTCGCAACCAAACTTTGCACTTTTACTAATTTTAACATGCTCTTTCTAGCTGTGGTGATGGATTTTGTTCTTCTTGCCGAGATCAAAATTTAGCCTATTGCTGGAGTCATCCATTGTGTTCATGAGAAACGAGCCAGCTCGGCTAGGTGAGATCTCACTATATGTGCTGGGTGAGATCTCATGGGATAAAATATGGGATAAAATTTGGGATAATAGTCATATGGGATAAAATTTTCCATATGAAAGCTATATTCCACCTTGCCGGGATGGACATATTTTGCCGATTTTGACCTATAATATAGTATTGAACAGCATAGTTTGAAAAATACAAACAAATTGTAAACATTAACGGACCTAAACAGACTATTAAAGTCGTCATACAAGGATTAGTAGAGACCTTACGATTTTAGGACTGCAACGCGACGGCAACGGCTACCAATAGTATACAATAGTTCATTGAAAAGAATTGAGTAATTACAATATGTGAATAATTTAGACATTGTCCTCGCTCTGTTTACAACGCCAAATCACAGATTTTCACGTCTTGATACAACGGCTGCATTCTGCCAAGTCACAACAAGTGCAACTTCAAACTGGGTTTAGCAGAACTCTTCCCAACCATAAAACCCATGTCTTCAACTTCTAAGACTGTATTAAATTCATACGATTGATAATATACGACGAACTATCTTTACTACCATTTATTTGAAGGAGTTTGTTTTGGCCGTCGCCGTCGCGTTGCCGTCCTAAAATCGTAAGGTCTCTAATAAAACAAAAATACTACGCCATGTCTACATAATTTCGTCCCACCAAGAATAAATTCATCCCAGGTGAGCTTCTCGGTAAACCGGGCTCATATGAACAGACCCTTAGGAAGCAAAATGGCTTGCTAGAATAATTGTAACTTGGATCAATAGGTGTAGTTGACCTGTGTCATGGACCCGATATCATGGACAACGGATCTGGAAAAATAATTCCGGTATCATTTGCCTAGGGCTAGGCAGCCTAATCCCTGTCGTTCTGAAGTTAGCAGGCAGAACCAACCTAGTCAATCGTGGACAAAATTGTTAATAAAATAGATCGCAATTTTAGAAAAATACATTCAAATTACTTCATTAGGTCCCCCCTCTCCTCCACCCAATGCTGGCATTATTTTCCCCACATTTTCAACGTAATTCAACAACATTAGAGAGCTTAAGCTTCGCGTTATACGTCAAACGGCAAACGCCAGGCAAACAAAAATTTATCGCTATCTAAATCGGTAATAAATATTAAAATATTATACTAATCGGTAATAAATATTACGGTATCAGGCAATAAAGAGTAGATGAACTTGCTTTTTTAAAACTGCAATGTATGATTATTCTTTCGACACAAGAAAGGAAATACGAAACGAAAACGTTCAACGGAAATTTTGCCAAGATTGTTCGAACATGCCGTTTGTCGTTCCCCGAAACGTAAAGCTTAAACTCCCTATTGTGTTGGGGGAAAGTGTTTTAGGCAAAATACAGAAAACAAATTACAATTTAAACTCTCACACAGTGGCAAATTAAAATTTTATTAACAGGTTATGTCCACAATTGTGGTTACCCTTGCAAAAATATTAACCCACTAAGCTCCATTGGGCCCTAATCCGCCCTACGTTACTTTACTCTGTCTAACGCCTGACGATTTTACTCGTGAAGGGAGGAAGGTCGTGGTCAATGGGTTAAACAGCGAAGAGAAAAAGAGACTTATTATAAGGTCTCTAATACGAAGACAAGGCTTCACCCACCCTCCTTCTCTTAACCAGCCCACAACCCAATCCCGAACGATGAGACATGACAAACTGTAAAAAACCATGAAGATGACCCAAAACAGGAACAAGAGCAACACGTAACCTGAAAAGATAGAACAAAGGTGTTAAAATCTCGCTAAACCTAAAATGACGGAGGGTTGGGCACCAAATGCATACATATCAGTTGATGTCATGTTAATCCTATCCTTCCCTCCCCTCCCTGTTCTTTTGATAGATCTGTGATTCCGCTCGGCCCCAGGTAAAGGAAGAACAATGAGCTGAGGAAGTCTAGGAGAGTGAAGAGTCCATCAATGATCACAAGTTCGTGACTTTGGGTGATAGGTGGACCTCCCATTGATCTCACTCGCGTAAATATATACGACTTTTGGTATATGTAAAAAGCTGATCTTGATAAACTTTTTCATTGTCAAACTTGCCAGATATGATGTCATTATATATAAAATGTAAAATATTTTTTCTTTTATTTTGCCTCCCAAGATTCACTCATTTCACATCATATCCGGCAATTTTGACAGGGTTTTTTACTACATATTATTAATACTAAACAAGAATCATATTTGGGATATAAGTGGCATATAATCAAGGAACACCTACCCCACAAAAAGTAGCCAATCTGAAAACTATGGTATCTTAGTCCTTTCCCCTAGGAAAACAAACATTATTACTTGATTATATACACAATGTCTGGTTATGAGGCTACCTCCTCCCAAGGCCATATAGCCCGTAATGAGTATGCCCGTTCGCTGCAGGTTGAAATTTGAGACGATTTTCCCACCAATTTTATATTTTTGAAAGGCCTGCGGAGGAGGTAGGTTATGAGGTATTCTGCAATCTGATTAGTGATTGGTTCTCTACTGGCAAGATATTTAACAATTATTGAATGAGGTTGAGCACGATATGAAGAATTATCAAGCCCGAAGTTTGCCGTTATCAACCGAAGCCGAAGGCTGAGGTTGATAACGGCAAACTAAGGGACCGGTCATTATTTATGGTGGGGGGTGGCACCGAAGAGAAAAGGGTTGGGTAAACTAAATTTTGAGTAAGTAAAAGGTTGGGTAAATGAAAAACAAAACAACTCAAGGGTTGGGTAATAAAAAATTATTGACATTTCCAAAGCATGACTCACTGAAGTATTGGGGACTAAAAAGCAATGGCAACAGTAGGCCCTACTCTGGGGCGATAACGAGATAATGCAAGTTTAATTAAGCAAATTTAGGTGATTTAAGCAAAATCTGCAATTTAAGCAATGCGAGTTTGAGTGATATAGGGCAATGTAAGAAAACAATTAAAATTTTAGGGAATGCTGTTTTAGGTGTTTAGAGGTAATTTCAGGAATATACAACTATATCCCTGATGACTCCAATGAAATTACCATTAACCTACGCCAAGCATCCAAACATGAGTGTTCCCACAAACACACACACATGCAGTGTATGAAGCAAAATATACAATTTAACAAAAAAAGTTGAAGTCTGCTTGAGGGGGTTCTGGAAACAAACAATGCACTGTATGCGCATGACGATCAAGTGTTTAAAGGGTAAATAAGTTCAATATTGATGACTTTTTCCATCCATTGTCTATTTCGAAGCCATTGGGGTATTATTAAATCCATGACACAACTATAATACATGACCACATGTTCACATCATATGCAATTGCAAACAATTTTCAAAGGAGTAGGGTACAGAATTGCAATATAACAACATATAAGTAAATTATACATGTCATGAACTTACCAGTTTGTGTTGAGTTAAATTTAAAAATTTTTATGACATCAAATATTATTTATTTATTTGCAAATCAAAACATTTTAAAATTCTCGTGTTTTGTTTTGTATTGCGCCCGCGATGTATTAACTGCTGTGAATATGATATACATTTTTAATACATTTATACATTTGCGCTCAAAAGTTCAGGAAGTGAGTTTCTAGAAAGGATGAAAACTCCGTTTTATATATGGTATGTAAAAGGTAATCGCTGTTTACTGTTTATTTTGTATTCAGGTATGGGGAATTTAAGTGATGAGAGTTGCAAAACTTGCAAATGTAGTCTGACTAGTTTCTTGACTTTGACGTCATCATGCAACTATTTAATATTGTGCTACATTCATTATTCACGGCAATTAGCCTTCTATAAGCCATACAAATGATTATAGCTTATAGCCCACCTTGCCTTTAACATTGATCCTATATATAATGAATTAACATAACTAACTTGATTATGTTGCTAGTCGAGTATGGGACCTATGGTTCTTCTAGGACCTTCTAGATCCTCGAGTAGCACAATTAATATAAAGTCTCCATAAGGCGGTAATATTAAAGACTGTTCTTATTTATGCATGACCCAGAGGTGCATGACCTTTGACTATTAAGTGGCCAAAAATTGTGCCTACAGTAATCAACTTATTCCACTATCCAGGTTGCATCACTTTTGATTGCAAAACACCCG